CGGGGTGCACAGGCGTTGGGTTACACCGGCGGCCTCGGCTGCTGCAAGGACCAGGTTCCCTTGCCGAGCTGACCCCCCCGCAGAAACTGCAGGAAACATTGAGCAGGAAGGTGGTGTCTGTCCCTCTTGGCGTGAGGGGTTGCTTTCGTTGGGCGTGAGCCCCATCAGAATGAGAAAAATCAGAAATGAGAAAAAAAAGAGGTTATTTCCACTGTTTGACACAAAATCTAATAATAATTTGTCTGTAGGGAACGCGAGTTTAGGCACGGCTGCTTCTGAAAGGTGAATATGCCGTTTGAGAAAGAAAGATTCATACATTAGATTTTCCTCACTGAGAGGGCAAAAAATTCCCTGCCTCCCGTGCCGTGCGCTCACGCGAATCAGTGGCGGTTGTAAAGCTCACCTGCAAACTGAGCAATGCACAACCCCTCTTCCTAATTCTGTCTGGGTTTTACAAGCTGTCAGTCAGCTGGATAGCGTTAGTTTTATTTGCTTCTTTCAAATTGGTTTTCTTTTTAATGGGAAGAAAGCATTTATATTAATGGAATCCCTGAAAGGAGAAGCTGAAATGCAATCCCTGAATTTTATATCAGGACCTTCGGGGAGCTCTTCTCCATGTTCAGACGAGCAGAAGCGCCGGCAACTTTCAGCCCGTTCTGCCTTTCAGAGCAAAGCACAAAGGCGGAGGGGGAATTTGCATTTCTTCCTTTCTTAAATTCAGCCGTCCGCTGGGAATTCCCAGGGCGAGAGGAACAACAGAGCCCGTTATTTGCTGGGAGGGAAACGGTGAAATAAAGATCTATAAAATACATGTTCAATTACTACAGTTTCTAGACAATGGCTTTGTAACAGCAGCATTATCCTAAATTCAACTACATTTCTATCTTCCTGTTATTTCCTTCTTTCTTAGGGAGTAAGAGCCATTTATAGTCTTTTTTAGTCTTTTATAGGAAAATGTTATTTATACTTGAACTGATGAAGTGTTCCGGTGCAAAACACCCAGATTTGGTGAGGCTCCTTCTAGATCACAGGGTAAGAGAGTGGAAAACACAGAATTCTTGAAAACCATGAACTCTTGTTTTCTCTTTGGGTGAAGTCTTGTTCTGCTTTTTTAAAATCCCATTGTTTCTAATTACTCCATAAATTTCAGTAACAAATGTCCTTGCGATGTACCTGTGGGCTAGCAGCAACAGTTGTCTCTTTATTACTCAGTTCTGGAGAAGGAAGAAAAACCAGCTCCAGCCTCTCGCTGCCCAGCCCAGCTCTGGGCTCAGCCTCGGGAGCTCACACCTGAACGAGGCAAATTTCTGCCTTGGCTGCAGGAGACCCAGCTTCCCCCCTCTGAAAAATCCCCCAGCAGCAGAGACACGAGCAGATCTGCACGTGTCACCCCCGGGTCTGAAGTGGCTCGGTGTATTTACACCAAAAGCCCCACGGTGTCACACAGTGGGGTTCCTCCCTTCCCCACAGTAGCTCTTGAACTGAAAAATAGAGTGAGTTTCTCTGTCGAGTGAACATTGCAGCGCGAAGGCAGTGTGCACGTACCCGTTTTGCTTCGGGCAGGCTTCTGAGAGCTCGCTGCGAGCAGAAACTGGACGTGTTTCCTCTCCTCGGGGGCGATGCGTGTGTAACAGGAGGGGGAAAAGCTGTGAAGACGCTCATGCGGTGCTGGTGGTTAACCAGGATTTTGCAAATCTAAATCTTTCCGCAAATATTGTCGGTACCTGCTCGCTTCTGGAGACGCCGGTGTCCCACCCGAAGGCCCGGGAAGCGGGGAGCGACAGCCGGGTGCTGTGGCAAGCGCACATCCCCCCGCAGCTGCAAACCAGCGAAGGCCACGACAGCGAGAGACCGCAGCCGACGCCGCGTCACCCTGCTCCAGCGGTGGCCGTGTGTCCTTTAGAAAAGGTGAGGAATAAAAGCCTGGCCTTCCCGGGTGTCACTGCCTGACATCTGCTGAGTCCCCAGGGCCAGGCGTGCCGGGGTGCTGGTGGCCTCCTGGGGCCAGCGTGGCTCCTCCTGGGGGGGTTCCCCCCCCCAAGCGCAGGACGGTGTGTGCCAGAGCAGGGGCTGGAGGCAGCTGCACCCCGAGCCCTGCGCTGTGCTGCTGGGCTCAGACCCACAGGCTCTCAAAGATCCTTGATACACGGGAGACCCCGGTACGAACATTCCCCGACTTCTCAGGGGAGTGAGAGGCTCAAAGCCCGAGTGCTTGAGAGAGTGTCTCCCACCCGATTCTTAAAGCAGAGATTTCAGCAAAGCGCTGCCCTGTGCTCCGAGGAGCACGACCACACGTTTGTGCGTGAAGACGGGTGTGTGCACGCACCCCTCCCGTGTGTGCACACGCAGGCTGCACAAGCTCAATTCCTTATTTTTTCTTTTCTTGCTGATTTCTCCTTGAAATATTCCGATATCTGACTACTAACGTTTTGTGGGCACAACCTTCTGTTCACAGGCAGACGACACCAGACTCTGCTGTTTTCTGTTGCTTTATCAGCACAGATTTCTGCCTGCACCTCTGGGATGGGTGCTGAAAAACAGCCATGACCTGTCAAAAATAGCTTGCCCGCGATCGAAGCCTGCGCATGCACAGAGCGGTGCTGTTTGGAGCTGCCAAGGACTGCCAGCCTCCAAAACCGTCAGGTTTTATTTCAGCTTATCAAAGCATTTCTACATCTGTGGGTTGGCTCCTGTATTTAAAGGGAAGAAGAGCGTATTTCGACACTTTGCGGAGCCACGACATCGAGTTTTGAGGGCTTTCCCTTTCAGTTTCAGGGATTGTATTTACCAATAGTGATGAGAATTTAGCGAAAGACTATTTAAAGTTTAGCTGACAAATTTATTTGTAATCTTGAAGTATTTGATCATCAGAGAGAAAGCAAGAATATAAATAAAAGACACTGGACATTCACGTAATCTACAGTTAATGCAATATTTTTTTTACAGAGAACAATATACATATTGTCTTGCCTTTCCTCACAATCAGCTCACACTATATCTGCGGAAATACACAAATGCCTGGAACAGAGAAGTGTCACCAGGAAAGCGTGTGCTCGCTCCGACACGCTCCCAGCCGTGCCTGGAGAATGCCTTGAACTAAACCAGGCAAAAACCCCCACTGAGAGACCCCCCCTGAGGAGGTATTTGGCAACAAGACATCAGGGTGATTTTGGAGAAGCTTTGCAGTAAAAGTGTTGCAAAGGAATTTGAAAGAAAAGCATAAGATTCACAACCCAGAGCCACTCGTGTTCCTGAGTCAAGAAAAATCACCTCTTGACCTCATGAGAAAAGTGTAATTATTTGGTAATAAATACATCTATTCACGGTTTAATGCTTATTTGGAAGAATAAGACTAGCAATCTACAAATTAAAAAGATGAGAAGCAGAATTAACGTATGATTTTCATTTTACAAAGGAAAAGGGTTCTGGATAAATGATTGGCATATTAAAGAGCATTTCATTTTAGAAAAGTTCATGTAAATTCAAAATAAAACAAAACATAACGCTTTTTAAAAAATCTGCTGGAAGAACAGAGAAGTTTTCTACCATGGGTTTCTGAAGTGATTCACTATTAACATTTCTCCTATAGAAATATAGACATTGTCACACCTTTTACCGTGGATGAGGACTTTATTTTCCCTTAAAAAGGTTTCGGTGTGGATGGGTGATGAAGCGAGTCCTTGCTTTGGAGAATGCACTGACAACAGAAAGCAAAATGCCTCATATCAAATCCGTAAAGCACAAGTCCTGGTGTTCAGCAAAGCCACAAGGAGCAGCTCCGTAGGCTCATCGCTGCGCTGCGGCTGCCTTTGCCCACCGGCCTCTGCTGACCCCCCGCCGGGCCGCCCTCCGAAAGCATGGCTGCTCCCTCCGCGTCCTCACGCTTCCCTGCCCCGCTCAGCAGTCACGGTTTGTCCCTCCTTTCTTTCCGAGGGGAGAGGACGTTTAACAGCACCGAGTCCTTTCCCTTCCCGCTGCGCGGTGGTGGCCCCTCTATCAAAACTGAGCGTGGTCGACTTCGTCCAGCCAAGAGGCCGGGCTGGCAGGGAAATCCGGGTACCCCCCGCTGCTGCCGGTGGAGAGGTCGGAGCTGGGCCCGTTCCCGGCCAGGACCCTCATGGACTGGGGCACCCCTTGTCCGCTTTGTCCCATGATGCCCAACCCGTTGTCTGGGTAAACCAAGCTGGAGATTAAAGGCTGGTGGCCTGGCAGTGCTTGCAAGGAAGCCGGTGACTGGGGTATCCCATAGGGGCTGTTGGATCGCAGGTCGTGGTACTGGTCCTGAGCTGGGATGCCACTGTGATCCAGAGCAAAGCTGCTGTTGGTCCCAGCCTGTCTCCCCAGAGCAGGGGACGCTTCGTTGAGATTGCTGTAAATCCCGTTGGAATGGCTCATTTCAGACATAGAGGGCTCATCTGAAAGGGAAAGGGACTGGTTTTACTGGGAGAGCAATGGTCACGGCTGGTAGTGGTCGCACGGGAACTCCTGCAAGCTCTGGGTATAAATAGATTAGATGGATGGGAGCTGAGCAGCCACACGCTTGCCACTCGTAATTCCTTATTATTCCTGTCTGTGTTGACGGATCTTCATAGAAGGCCACGGGATTATTATTTTTTCTGAGTACAAACATCTGATACATTTTGGATCTTAAAAATATGCATGAAAAGTACATATTAAAATATAAGGCCGTGCTTTAAAAATAATCCTTTAAAGGGGAATGTGAATTCAATGTCTTTCCACCTTTTGTTCTGCATTTCTATTGAGCTTTGAGGTTTATCTTGAATTTTGATATCATTTTTAGGAGCTACCTGAATGTTCACCGATGCAACAAAAACTCTCCATTGCTCAGAAAAAAAAAAAAAAAAAAGATATTAAATGAGCAGTATTGCTCTGCTCAGGAACAGGCTAATGAAATGCATTCGTACGGCTTAAAAACACTTCTGAAAAATGAGCAGTATTTTTTAAGTTACCAGCAAAAATTGTTTGCATTCGTTAGGGGCTTTATGGACAGCGAGAGCTGCTCTGTTGCCTAGGATACAAAGCTGTTCGTGGCATCGAGCTATCAATAATTGTTCAACATTTTTTAGTTATTATTTATAGTATATTCATATTTAATGATGCTGATGCACGGCGTGTATAAACAGGCTTGAAAATCAAACAGTTTTTAGGAGCATGGGAGAGAAGCTGAGATGCAAAGCTGTGTCTGTACAACCCTGCAAGCGTTATAGATGTACAGCTGCGGAAACACCTGCACAGAGTTTCGCATTTTCTCTCTGTGTTCCTAAAACCAGGCACATTTGGGCACTGGGGTAGCACAGACCAGCTAACGGCGGCAGAGAACCCCCGGCCCTGAGACAGCTCTGGGCTGGAGCTGGGGCCGTGCAGAATGTGCCCCCTCACAGCGCTGCAGGCACCAACCCCGCACCCAGCTCAGGGCCGTGTCCAGCTCCCGCAGCAAGTGCCCTGGGCCTGGAGGGTGCGGGTGGGACCATGCAGGGCAAAACCTGGCGGAGTTGTGTCCCCAGGTCGATCAACAGAAATCTCTGCTCCAAAAATGGGACCCTCCGGTGCAGAAAGCTCCCAACACGCCGCCATCTCCCTTTGACAGCACAGCGCAGAGCGAACGACTCCCACAGAACAGGCAAGGGAGTTCCTCATTAGTAACTACGCAAATAAAACCACCCCTAAATAGGGTGAAAAAAAAAACCCCTACGTACTTTTCCCATAAAAACATTCAGGGATCCTGGACTCTCTGTATTTCCAAGAGTCCCTTGAAAAGGGTGTCTATGAGCAGCGGCTCCAGCATCCGCAGTGCCTACCCGGGGAGCAATCCTTGCTCTCACCGCGCCTTTTTGGACGTGACAAGCCCCCCGGGAGGCAGAGCGGAGTCTCCCCTGCAGCTCCTCCACAGCGGCTGCCCCTCG